TTCCAGAAGGTTTGGGGCTTTTTGGGTTCCTTTGGGTTCTTCTGGGGGTTTTTTTGGGTTTTTTGGGGGGTTTTTGAGGTGTTTTGGGGTCTCAGGAGGTCCATGATGAGGAGGAGCTCAGGTGGGACCAGGGAGAGAAGAGGGACAGGAGAGATCAAGAAGCTCAAGAAGGTTTGGGGCTTTTGGGGTTCTTCTGGGGTTCCTTTGGGTTCTTCTGGGGTTTTTTTTGGGTTTTTGAGGTGCTTTGGGGTCTCGGGAGGTTCCTGGTGGAGAAAACCTGAGGTGTGACCAGGGAGGTCACAGGAGAGATGGAGGAGCTCCAGAAGGATTGGATTTTTTGGGTTCCTCTGAGGTTTTTTTTTGGTTTTTTTGGGTTTTATTGGGGGTTTTGAGGTGTTTTGGGGTCTTGGGTTGCTCAAGGTGGAGAAGACCCAAGGTGGGAGCAGGGAGAGCACAAGGACAGGTGAGATGGAGGAGCTCCGGAAGGTTTGGGGCTTTTGGGTTCCTTTGGGTTCTTCTGGGGTTTTTTGGGGATTTTTTTGGGGTTTTTGAGGAGTTTTGGGGTCTTGGGATGCTGAAGGTGGAGAAGACCCGAGGTGGGAGCAGGGAGAGCACAAGGACAAGGCCAAGATCGAGAACCTCCAGAAGATTTGGGATTTTTTGGGGCTTTTTTGGCAGTTTCTCCCCAAAGGAGCAGCACCACATGAAGCCCATGGATAATTTTGATTTATTTTGGGTTCTTTTGCCCATTTTTGCCCATTTTTGGGTGTTTTCTCCAGGATGATCAGCGGCACATGAAGACCATCGATAATTTTGGGTTATTTTGAGTTCTTTTGTCCCTTTTTGCCCATTTTTGCCCATTTCTGGTGGTTTCTCCCCAGGATGATCAGCGGTGCATGAAGCCCATCAATAATCGTGATTTATTTTGGGTTCTTTTCTCCATTTTTTACCATTTTTGGGTGTTTTCTTCCCAGGAGGAGCAGCGGCACATGAAGCCCATGGATAATTTTGGGTTCTTTTTGGGTTCTTTTCTCCATTTTTCACCATTTTTGCCCGTTTTTGGGCGTTTTCTCCCCAGGAGGAGCAGTGGCACATGAAGCCCATTGATAATCTTGATTTATTTTGGGTTCTTTTGTCCATTTTTGACCATTTTCCCCCATTTTTGGCGGTTTCTCCCCAGGAGGAGCAGCGGCACATGAAGATCATGGATAATTTTGGGTTCTTTTGCCCATTTTTGCCCATTTTTGCCCATTTTTGCCCGTTTCTGGTGGTTTCTCCCCAGGAGGAGCAGCAGCACATGGAGCCCATGGATAATTTTGATTTATTTTTGGTTCTTTTGCCCATTTTTACCATTTTTTGGTGTTTTCTCCAGGAGGAGCAGCGGCACATGAAGATCTTTGATAATTTTGGGTTCTTTTGCCCATTTTTGCCCATTTTTGCCCATTTTTGCCCATTTCTGGTGTCCCCAGGAGGAGCAGCGGCACATGAAGCCCATGGATAATTTTGGGTTCTTTTGCCCATTTTTGCCCATTTTTACCATTTCTGGGCGTTTTCTCCCCAGGAGGAGCAGCGGCACATGAAGATCATGGATAATTTTGGGTTCTTTTGCCCATTTTTGCCCATTTTTGCCATTTCTGGGCGTTTTCTCCCCAGGAGGAGCAGCGGCACATGAAGATCTTTGATAATTTTGGGTTCTTTTGCCCATTTCTCACCATTTTTACCATTTCTGGTGGTTTCTCCCCAGGAGGAGCAGCGGCACATGAAGATCTTTGATAATTTTGGGTTTTTTTGCCCATTTTTCACCATTTTTCACCATTTTTGCCCGTTTCTGGGCGGTTTCTCCCCAGGAGGAGCAGCGGCACATGAAGCCCATTGATAATTTTGGGTTCTTTTGCCCATTTTTGCCCATTTCTGGTGTCCCCAGGAGGAGCAGCGGCACATGAAGATCATCGACGAGACCATGGCGCAGCTGCAGGACCTCAAGAACCAGCACCTGGCCAAGAAGTCGGAGGTGAACGACAAGAACCACGAGATGGACGAGATCCGCAAGAAGCTGGGCGGGGCCAACAAGTGAGGGCGGGGCCAAAGGGGCGTGGCCAAAGGGGTGTGGCCAACGACAGGGTGGGATCAATGAGGGGTGTGGCCAAAAGGGGTGTGGCCAAGTGAGGGTGGGATCAATGGGGGGTGTGGTCAAAGGGGGTGTGGCCAACAAGTGAGGGTGGGATCAATGGGGGTGTGGTCAAAGGGGTGGGGCCAATGAGGGGCGTGGTCAGAGGGCGGAGTCAATAAGTGAGGGTGGTGTCAAAGGGGGCGGGGCTAAATGAGGGTGTGGTTGGGGGCAGGGCTAAAGGGGTGGGGCCAGAAAGTGGAGAAACGGCGCTGTGGGTGTGGCCATGGTGGGCGTGTCTTTGTGTGGCGCTGTGGGTGTGTCCCCATGTCCCTGTCCCCACCGTGTCCCCGTGTCCCTGTCCCCATCTCCTGTCCCCGTGTCCCTGTCCCCCATTCTGTGTCCCCACGATATTCCTGTGTCCATGTCCCCATGTCCTTGTCCCCTACTGTGTTCCCATGTCCCCATCTCCTGTCCCCATGCCCTGTCCCCCAGGAGGGCTAAAGGGGTGGGGCCAGAAAGTGGAGAAAGGGCGCTGTGGGTGTGGCCATGGTGGGCGTGTCTTTGTGTGGCGCTGTGGGTGTGTCCCCATGTCCCTGTCCCCACCGTGTCCCCGTGTCCCTGTCCCCATCTCCTGTCCCCGTGTCCCTGTCCCCCATTCTGTGTCCCCACGATATTCCTGTGTCCATGTCCCCATGTCCTTGTCCCCTACTGTGTTCCCATGTCCCCATCTCCTGTCCCCATGCCCTGTCCCCCAGGTCCCCACCATGTCCCCGTGTCCCTGTCCCTGCCCTGTCCCCATGTCCCCATCTCCCATCCCCTGCCATGTCCCCACGGTGTCCCCACGGTGTCCCCGTGTCCCTGTCCCCATGTCCCTATCCCCATGCCCTGTCCCCATGTCCCCATGGTGTCCCCGTGTCCCTGTCCCCATGCCCTGTCCCCATGTCCCCACGGTGTCCCCGCCGTGTCCCAGGGAGATGACCCACCTGCAGAAGGAGGTGACGGCCATCGAGACCAAGCTGGAGCAGAAGCGCAGCGACCGCCACAACCTGCTGCAGGCCTGCAAGATGCAGGACATCCGGCTGCCGCTGGCCCGGGGCTCCATGGACGACATCAGCCAGGAGGAGGTGACACCTGCCACACCCCCTTGTCACCCCCGGGTCACCTTGTGCCACCCTGAGCCACCCCCTGTCACCCTGAGCCATCCCTGTGTCACCCTGTATCCCCCTGGCTGCTGCTGGCCCGGGGCTCCATGGACGACATCAGCCAGGAGGAGGTGACACCTGCCACACCCCCTTGTCCCCCCCGGGTCACCTTGTGCCACCCTGAGCCACCCCCTGTCACCCTGAGCCATCCCTGTGTCACCCTGTATCCCCCTGGCTGCCGCTGGCCCGGGGCTCCATGGACGACATCAGCCAGGAGGAGGTGACACCTGCCACACCCCGTGACATCCCCGGGTCACCCTGTGCCACCCTGAGCCACCCCTGTGTCACCCTGTATCCCCCTGGCTGCCGCTGGCCCGGGGCTCCATGGACATCAGCCAGGAGGAGGTGACACCTGCCACACCCCGTGTCACCCCTGTGCCACCCTGTGACAGCCTGAGCCACCCCCGGGTCACCCTGAGCCACCCTGTGACACCCTGAGCCACCCCCTGTCACCCTGAGCCACCCTGTGACACCCTGAGTCACCTCCATGTCACCCCATCACCCTGAACCACCCTGTATCCCCCTGGCTGCCACTGGCCCGGGGCTCCATGGACGACATCAGCCAGGAGGAGGTGACACCTGCCACACCCCCATGTCACCCTGTGTCATCCTGAGCCACCCTGTGACACCCTGAGCCACCCCCGGGTCACCCCCTGTCACCCTGTGCCACCCCTGTGTCCCCCTGGCTGCCGCTGGCCCGGGGCTC